ATATATGTATTTGCATGTGTATATACAATTTTCTCTCGCTTTATACAAACACAAATGCACTTTATACACTTGCGTTTGTATAAAAAACGAGAGAGGGGAGGGAGAGAACGAAAGTGGCGAGCGAGATTCACCAGGAGAGAGGTGAAATAGCAACAGTTTGCTATGAGGTACAATTAAATCAAACTATATTTATAGCATTTAATTTGAATTAATAGTTTGCTATTATATACAATTTTCCCAAAATTAATTGCTAAAATATGTTGGTGTTTTCTTGTTTCTTACATTTCCAAGAATTAAAAAAATATGTTTTGTTACATTGTTATAGGAAGATCCATTTTAAAGGTATAAGTATCATCCTTACAAGATGAAATTATTATTATTCATTACAAAGCAAGGGAAGAAAAGAATATATATATATATATATACTAGCAAGCACGGGCCCAATATTTGTTACTTCATTTGTCTCAATTTATGTAGGTGATTTATAATATTTTTAACGTAACTTTTAAATGATATATGTTACTTTTCTTTTCCAAATTCATGTAGCACTATGAAATTTCAAGAGTTAAATCAATTGTTAATTATTGTGATTTATAGAACTCTTAGCTTAATTTAACGTAATTTTCAAATAATATATATTACTCGCTAGATCTCAATTATGTAGTACATGTGAAATTTTGAGAGTTGATCGAATTTTTAGTACTATTTTTACTATATTTTAGTACTATTTACATAATTTTCAAATAATATATGTTACTCACTCAATTCTAATTATGCAATACATGTGAAGTTTCGAGAATTAACCAAATTTTCAATATTTTCAATTGATTTTTAGTACTATGTTTGTAGTAAATAGAGGAAGTTGAAGGAGAAGGGCAAATCGGTCAATCGACCGATTGACCCTAAGCTTCTCAACGTTCTCACTACTAATATGCGAGCACAGACCCAATATATGTTTTTTTTTAAAAATATGTAGCACATAAAATTAGAAAAATCAGTCGATTTTTGGTATAATTTTTAAATATTTTAACTTGTTAATTATTGTAATTGATAATACTTTTAACATAATTTTCAAATAATATATGTTAGACATGTGAAAATTTGAGAGTCAACCAAAATTTTCCATATATTTTTATAAATATTTTAAGTTGTTAATTATTATGATTTATAGTATTGTTTACATAATTTTCAAATAAAATAATATATGTTAGCAATCTGTTCTAACATAGGTAAAATAAGTAGAGAAGTACTTTTAGATACTTGCACAAAGAAGTGAAAAGTTTCTTAGGAAAAAGACGCTACATACACGTTTTGTTTAATGAAGAGACCCACCAAATTAGATAAAGTAGTAGATGAAGGTTAAATTTCAGATAAGTTCTTGTATTTGTAAATTACTTCCTCCGTCTCATTTTATGTGATATTTTTCAGATTTTGAGATTCAAACAAGTCTTTCTTTGACCTTAATCTTTCATAGATCTTTTAAACATTTTGAATTATCAATTATTGTGACTTGTAATACTCTTTACGTAGTTTGCAAATATATAAATTTTATTTTAAAAAAAATTAAGATTCCGTACGTAAATTTCTGGTCAAACTTAAATTGTCTGACTCTCAGAAAACGAAACGTGCCACATAAATTGGGACAAAGAAAATATTAAACTTGACTCTAAGCACCTAAAACAAGTTCCTTTCTTTGTAAATTTTGAAACTTGATCCTAAGCTGCTCTAATTTCCTCTTATTCTAACACACACACACACATATATATATATTACTAGATAATGTTGCCCGTGCTATGCACGGGCCCAATAATATAAATGGTATATTTTGGGGCTAATAACCGAGTTTTTGAAGCGATTGTTTGCGTGGATAAAGGAATAAGTTTTTTTATCACAAACCTGTACTTTCTTTGATGCTATTTAAGGCATAATAAGACTACCCACATACAACATTTTTGAAATATTTTATGTTGTCAATTATCATGATTTATAGTATTTTTACGCAATTTTTAAATATAAAAAAAAAGAAAAAAATAAGACAAATAAATTAAAATGGACCCAATATATGTTATTTTTGTTATCTC